GGTCATATGATGCAATTTCAAATTTTCCTTTCTCTTTGGAGTGTTACAAGCTGTTCGTGCATAGATAAGATCACTAAAGTTGCAAAGACTAAAGTCTCAAACCCAAAGAGATATTCTTTATAAAAGTTAAGACTTGTCCATGCCCTCCTAAAACACCTTGTTTAAACACGCCCCCACATGTCTATGTCACTGTGTGAGAAGATTTGCATAGCACCGCCCAAATGTTCACGCAAAGAAAGAAGGCATAACTTTTATTCTCGCTGTAGTGTTGTTGTTGCCGCCGACATGTCGTGGAGACGCTGTTTCTCGTTGTGAAAGCAAAACTACTTTGTTTGGCCTTCCAAAAGAGGACGATAGCCGCTTCGAGCTGATCCATGCTGGTCGCTGAGGAAATACATCAACTTCGCGCTGTGGATCGTCGGATATGCTTTCACCGTGAACGAAGTGGAGTCCAGCCCGGGGTCGTCACATGTGGTTGCCGCAAGCCCGCTGGCCGCTCCTTCGTCGAATCCGCCGGCAGCGCCGTTCTCAAGCCCGCCGGCTGCTGCTCCCTCTAGCCCGCCGTGTGTGATGCTGTGTTTCTCGTTATGAAAGCGAAACTACTTTATTTGGCCTTCCAAACAAAAGACACGACTAGAAATCAGTGGTTAAGTTGTATTTACAACACTGTTCCAGAACAGTTCAACTAGGGCGGCACAATTAATCGAATTTCTAATCGCGATTACAGTTATGGATGCCACAATTACTTGATCGTTCAAAGTGGCAATTAATCGTTCAAAGTCCACTTATGTTATTCTGCGTGCTTAAGATGTGTTTTTTTCTTTCTACATGTTATCTTAAGGGTTTTCCCCATTATTTTAATTTTAGTTTTAGTAGAACATTATAATACCATTCATATTTTTACTTTTTTATAATTTAAAGAAAACAATCCGATGTATAGTTGACTTTTGAGGCTTAATACTATAGAAAAGCACAAAGTTTTTCAGTTAGTGTTTTCAGCTTGTTTATTTTCATATAAAAACATGGCATGCAGTTGCATCAAACAATGTTATAAACATCATTCAATGTAAATTGTGATAAATGTAATTAATAATCGCAATTACAATTTCAAGGGAATAATCGTGCAGCAAAGTTCACCCCAAATATTCAGATGTGTGCAGCGCATTTTATGGAGGACTGTTTCCTGATCCTGCAGAGTAGCCTACAATGCGTCTGAGCACAAAGGCTGTTTCTATAAAGTGGGGCAGTTCCAACTTTGCAAGGACAGTCTGGCGCCTCTGACTCACAGCCTGTAAGTAAGTTTTTTTTTTTTTGTAATATTTAAAAAATTTGCCACTGACGATTCAAATGCGAGTTTTGAGCAGTGTAGAGTAGCACTTGTTGTTTGTCGTTTCTCCGATCACAAATGCAGACATGGTTTTATGTTTATGTGGTGCAATACACAACGCAACGTGTAAAAAGACAGTATAAGTCATTATAATCAGTAATTATGTCCCCACTGGATGCAACAAATGCCTCGTTTGTAATGGGTTTTATTGGTGTTGTCTCATCGCGCCATGACACGGCATCACAGTATGGTAAGGGGCGTAACATTTCCGTCACACGCTTGAGGAATTCAGCCAATCACAACGCACTGGATAGCTGGCCAATCACAGCACACCTCGCTTTTCAGACCGATGAGCTTTGTAAAAATCGACGCATTTCAGAAAGGCGGGGCATAGAGGATAAACAATAATGAACATATGAACATTGTATGTGTTTTTTTAACCGTAAACTGCATAAATACATTGCAGTACACCAAATACACCACATAATGTTCTTGTGTTCTTGTTCATATGACCCCTTTAATGCTTTGACAAGTCAAAAATATCTGAAATGACATTAAGTTAGATTTTACTTCAGTTGTGGCTAAATTCATTTAAAAAAGATGTTAATGGAAATGGTTTGATACGTGCTTCTCACCTAAGCCTTACAGTGGAATTGTTTGATACTGGGATTGGAGGTAGGGGAGAGTGCTTGTTACCATGGAAACAGCACCATCATGTTCTTTAGAGCCATATCATGTGATGTCACAAACGCTTGGCAGGCATGCTGGATGATTATTTTCTCCAACCTCCAGACAGCTTCAGTTCAGTATGGTTGTTTGTCCATCTTTGCAGAAGAATGTGCATGTCACAATATTGTTTTAATATTACCATATCCAATTAATACCTGGATGTAGTCTCATAGATTTGGAATAAACCAAACATAGATACTGAAACCTTTTTGTTATGATTGTCTGAGCAATTAGATGTACTTTCCCATGGCAGCGTAATAGCAAACAATGTTTTGATTCACTTGACTGGTTCCCCGTTTTTTGAGGTGTAATCTTTTATGTCCATGACAAGTTGATGCAGTAAAATACAGTATCGGTCACATGTCTAACCTTGGTGTCCATGTGCAGTTATCAAATATGTCCCCCTCATTCTGCTAGAGGTCAAGTAATGTTGCAAAACAGTTTTAAGCCTCTCTGTGATTTACAGCTTTATGGTGAGCTCAAATGAAATTAGGATAATGCATATGCAACTATAAATGAACATTTATCAATAACCAGATTTATCCAGCCAAATCTGGCTGAACAGAATTATTTATGGTTGCAATTTACACAGTGCCCTTCAAGGTGCATCATGCAGCATATATAGAAAGAGTTTCATTTGGAGAAAATAGATTGTAACATGAATACTGGCTTAAAAATATTTCAATAATTTACTTATGTGCTTTTTCTAGTGTCTCTTGTTTTGAAGTAAACTAGTTTTGTGTGTGTATATATATACAAAACTGTTATCATAATGGATATAACCAGAGCTCTCTATTTCTTATGCTTTTTTTTTTCAGGACGATGAGAAGTTTTTGACTGAGCTCTTTGCACAGCTAACTGATGAAGCCACAGATGATGACAAACGGCATGAGCTGGTATGAGCAACATTACTAATGAATGTGTTAACCTCCTACTCATAACACTTGATATAAACAAAATTTATATTGTTTTCACATTCAGGTAAATTTCCTGAAGGAGTTTTGTGCGTTCTCACAAACGTTACAACCACAGAACAGAGACGCATTCTTCAAAACTCTGTCCAACATGGGTATCCTGCCAGCGCTGGAAGTTATTCTTGTAAGATATACTTGCTACTTCAAAGAACAGATTTGCAGTCAGTTGATTTGGTGGTATCTTTTTTTAAAATTTTAATATCATTACTAATGATCTTTAGTATTGTATTTTATGGAGAATAGGTGTATCTGCTACATTTGAAACTGTAACTTAACTTCAACTTTGCTCTCAATGAAGACAATAACTTTAGCTTGCTCTTGCTGTATTTATGAACGCATGTGTGCTTTGTGTTAAAGGGCATGGATGATGTTCATGTGCGTGGCGCAGCCACTGATATCTTTTCCTATCTGGTGGAGTACAACCCCTCCATGGTGCGAGAGTTTGTTATGCAGGAGTCTCAGCAGAATGATGATGTAAGTCACATGCCACATGCCTACTGACTCTTGTGAGCCTTCCAGCTACCTGTCTTTCTTACCACTTGTCTATATTTTACAGGACATTCTGTTGATAAATCTGATCATTGAGCATATGATCTGTGACACGGATCCAGAGTTGGGTGGAGCCGTACAGCTAATGGGCTTGCTCAGGACACTAGTGGACCCAGAGAACATGCTGGCAACTGCTAATGTGAGA